AGCTAGGATAACTGAGGTACCTTAGCTATCCCTCGAGCTTTCCGAACGTTAGATGACCAGCAGGTGCTGGTGGAAATAGCCGTACCTGCGCGCGTCTAGTTGCGTGTAAGATAGCCGATGCGACTGACATATCCCAACTTATCTTCCATGTCGCTAAGTTAAGTACCTACGTCCTTCATCTTTCACCTGTCAGCTTAGTTATCTCTAGCGATACTGACTAGGACAGCGACGCTATCTTGTTTCAAGCCACAGCATATTCGGCTTTAACCAAGATGCAGCAATCCGCGCTATCACTCCCCTTTCGTGCTCACGAATTATGCTCAAGTCCAACGTCTTCCGTTCACCTCGCATCGTACCTCCTCGACACAAACCGACGCGCCCTCCAAAGCCTGACCCTGGTGTAGGCGACTTGTGGTTGCAAACGGCTGACTTATCACCAGCAAACGCGTTGCTCTTTCAGCACGGAGACTTCGCTAGCGAACTCGTTTTTTGCGAGATGTTTATGCTGCGTATACCAGTGAGTACCACACTTGTTCTGCTGCTATAGCACCGCTAAGTCTACTTAGGATCCGGACCCGAGCAAATTCTTCGCTGAGCTCGATACCTACTGCCTCTATGCAGCCATCTCCGTGCCCGTCGACTCTGGCGTTCCGTCAAGACACCGTGCGAGCCCCGTAGCCATTGTGGAGAAATGGGTAGGCTGCAGGGAAGTTCAAGACAGCCCCGGCTGGACACACTGGGTGCCCGGTAAAGCGCAGCGGTTTATAGAATCGCGCTCGGACGCGTGCGAGATATTTGCTATGCTAGCCGATACCGACAACAATGTGCAAGTGGTATATTCCTGTTCCCGCTGCCTGCGGATGGCTAGAGTCAGGGTGGGGCGCGTCTGCCTCTCCTAACGTGGATGCCATTGCGCGCGAGGGGTACGACGGAGGTGAGCTCGTCATTACGGTTGCACTGTCGCAGTATTTGAGCAGCCTGCAGCGGTAAAAAAAATTCTGGTGAGTGATCATGTACCTGTAGTTCAAGATCTGGATTGACAGGTGTTCTCAGCCTTTGATTTTTGCGACGACAGCAGCCCTCATCGTAAATCTCGGCTGTGTGGCGTCGATATTGGGTGTAGTACCAGTACCAGTACTACTAGTATTGCTAGGCGGTGAGTGGTTTCACCAGTCCCACTTTGTGCTCAGCCAATCTTACTTACTTGCCTTCTCTCTGATACAGCTTTTGTCTATTCCCTGTGGTAGTACGAGCTGGTAGAGCAAGATCGAGGATGATCATGTCGGTGGCGTTGTTACTGTATTTAGATATTGGATGCACATATACGGATGTTATGTAATCAATCTGATCGTCCGAATCTCGTCGCCCCGTGAACCGTAGGCTATTCTATGCAAGAGGGGTGCAAGATCCAAATCGGGAACACGGACCTACCTTTGCACTGGGTCATTATTGATGTTCGGGGTCCTAGTACGCACTCTTTGCTCAGTTTCCCGTTAATCCTTGCACAGTCGCCGAATCAAGTCCCATATTGCTCTAATAAACGCTTGCACGCATGTAGTACGATATAAGCAATTTTATCATTTAGTCTATGTCACGATTTAATGCCTTCTGAATATCTGCTAGCACGCGCCGTCTGGGACGAATGTCAGACCTCGTGCTTGCCAGAAAGTCACATGACACTGCGGGCAAAGATGGGTCTCTAATTTTATCGTCGCTGTCCAAATGAGGTCCGATTGTGCTTCTGCCGCTGTCCGGCTCGTCCGTACACGGAAGGGGGACTCCCCCCTACCCCCTTTCCGGGGGTCCTGGAAAGTTGGAGGTCGGTGTCCAAAATTCTGGTTTTGCACCCCTCTTGATTCTATGCACCACAAGACAGTCAACGTGGCTTACGGTCCCAAGCCCGTGATACCCAATCTATCCCCCACCAAGATGTTTAAGGCGAGAACGTCTCGCCTATGAATCTTCAGGTACAGCTTGGCCAGTAATATCAGGTGTGGATACTTTGAGACATGGGAACATTCTTGCAGCTATCTACTGGCTAGACAACAAAGGTATCTCAGTCTGTAGATAGTTCGTGACAACTTGGTCATCCAGGCGCCTATCCACAGGTGGGATAAAGTGCAGCAAACGCAGTGACTGTCTTTAATGGAGGCTTGTACCCGTTTAGTATCAGCGTCGCAGAAGTCCCCCCCAGGCTCTCGCGCGTGCTCAAAAAGGCAGGATTCTCCGCCCAAAACGGCAGGTGCACATGGTTGGCATCTGCCGGACCTCGGCACGTATATAGTCTCGACCTCTTCAACGCTTCCTCTACCCTACACCGAGGGTTATACTGCCTATAACGTATGCGCTGAATGCGCAAAAGCGCATAGAACCTCATCTACACAATATTAACTCCTTTAAAGTGGGGGGGGGGGGGGGTCGAGGCACTAAATGTGGCCCAGTAGAAGCCCTACTGGGATCAAAAATCACGCTGAGAGAACTGTAGCTTTTCAGACTGTCTCCTACTTTCAATGGGGAGTCCCAAAAGTCCCAAAGCTCAGTAGCTCCTCCTGGTACATTATCTACAGGATAAATCACAACTACTAGGTTATAGTACTGCGAGCACAACGGGGAGTCAACAGCACGAAGTTCCTTGCCGTGTATTCGGCAAGGTCCTCGCACGTGGTTTACCACTGCTGCGGCGCCCCAGCTACTCGTTTGGGTAGGGTTCACTTCCAAAAGCGGGCTAAGGGGGGACTTCCCTATGCTGTATCGGAAATATGCACTAGCCTATCACTTCCAGCATAATGCATGTAACACAGGCCAGCCTTCTGACATTGCCAAGCTAAGGTTAGACGCCCACAATCTCTATTATAACGATGAAGATGATGAGCGGAATCTCAGTCGCTATTCTCTCTGCACTCTGTGCTCATGGCTGAACCGGTATTAGCGGCGGCGGGGGAACGAGCGGTGCCCGATGGCGGCGTCCCGCGTCGTGGCTTGGATACTCCTTCAAAATTCGCCGGGCCTTCGACATCTTCCGGAAGCGGGACTCTGGTGCACGATCCTGCCGTGTCCGCTCAACCCCCAGAGGGAGCAGAGGTTCGCAGGAGCAGGTCAGAAGTGCCCTCGAGCCCTCGTCAGCCAGGGCCACAAGGGGAAACTTTACCCATCCGTTTCCTCACCCTACAGTCCTACGCTGGGCTCCCTATCGTAAGTGTGATATTTCACAGCGCCAAACTATTATTTTAACACTCGAATTGCAATTTACATCAGGAAGCTCTTCCCGTACCTCCCATGCTGTACCCGCCTTACGTGGGCCCAGCCACACCCCAGAATCCAATGCAGTCCTATGACTCTGTACAGGCCAATATCCAAACTCCGTACTATGTAACGACACTCGACATTATTCCTTCCACCTAACTCTAATGCAAGAAGTTCGTACAGGAAAATGGAATAAGCCAACCGGCCTTATTCGACCAGCAGAGAGAAATGCTGAGGTATTTGAAGCGGTTGAATGAATGGTTAGAACGGGATGTATTAGTGCGTGGGATAGACAGGCAGGATGTTATCGATCAGCTTGACAATCTTCGTAAAGAGCTGGATCGCATACGAAATTCGCCACCTCCCCGTATAGACTCTTCATATAGGCAGGATCTCTCAGCGTCACAGGAGAACGTTGGAAATCTTGAGGCTCTTGTAAGTACTCACTATTTGTACTAGCCTCGGATTTCTATGTAATTCTGACGGACCCCGAAGCGTGATCAAGTTTCGTCTCTGACCTACGGAGAAGGATCAGGGCGGGCTAGGGCCGAAGTGGACGATTATGAAGACTCCAGAGGGCCAGTCGAGCAGGGGTCGCGCTCGGGGCGTCTAAACGAGGGCGAGCGTGTTCAAACTATATACCGGCCAAGCGGCAACAGGCCGTTACCTGCGACACAGGTTTCTGTGCCACCGACTTCAGGCTTCCCTCTGGAGAGCGGAGCAGGTTATTACCCTGGTAGGAACGTCTACGCGCCCTCCGATCCACGTCTTGCCTTCCAGCCTTATGACGAGGATTATCAGCGAGAATTGTCAAATCTTCTGCACCAGAACGTTCCTGTTCTCGGGACGCCGTATCCGACGGTTCCCCCGTCCGTGCCCCCTCCACTCGCTTCCGGGCCTGTGCCTTACCAGTCAGGGGAGGTGCCTCAATCGTACCCATACCCTAATATCGCCGCAGCTGCTGGGATTGGTGGCCCAGGAGTCCACCGTTTCAAGCCGGAGTCCGATTGGAGACCATCATGGAATTTCTTCCAGTTGATCGCCTTTAGAGGAGCCACGTCGACAACGATCATGATCAAACCCGACTGGGATGATGAGCAGCTATTACGCGAGCTTTATAGGACGTACAATAAATTGCGGTCTTGGAGGCGATTATTCTCCCTGAAAACGTTTAGGTGCAGTTTCTCGCTTTGAATTCGCGGTTACCTGCGTTTGCTGATGGTGGCGTGAAGCTCTATGGTTCACGTTTGGGTGTGTGCATATTCTGGCTTCCGCTCTTGCTGTATCATCTCTTACAGGACGATGGCAGGCGGATGTAAACTACATATACCCACAGTTCTCAAGATCTTCCCCGGAAAATGCGTCTTCTTCATTTAAGTCCATGCGAATTCGTTACTATTTCCGACATCCCAAGGCACAGAGCGGCAAGACAGAGTTCATGCAGTATTTGACCAGGGACCGGCGGTTTGGAGTTATGTACCTAGAAAGGTGGGATCCATATAGGATCACCTTTTTGATTTCAGGTCCTGTTATGGCGACCCTGGTGTTCTCAATTCTGTGGGCGTACTTCATGAATAACATCTCCGACGCCTTCACGATCGGCAGTAAGTCAATGTCCTTGTTTGCATCACTCCCATTGACATTAGTATTCAGGTTATATGGTCACGGCTTACTCGACATTCCTAGTGCTCATCGGAATCTTGAACTGGGTTGAGTTCTGAAGGACTTAGAGTGACGGTGTCCACGTGCACCGCTGTTCCTGGAGCTTGACGAAAATTGAAGGTTGTATGTCGGTTGCTATCCCAGAGGTTTCGAGCGATCAATTGCTGTCTGGCCCGACCATGGAGAATCGTCCATGTGATCTGACGATAGCCCCCATGTAGAATACGTGATTTGGTTACGACATGCGAATGGATTGTGGTTGACATCACTGCGGCTCGCGTCTGGACGGCACCCATTCATTACAGATAGGGAGACGGTCGTACGCACGAGCTCCAGTCCATTACCTCCAGCGCACCATCCCTCTAGCTCCGCCATGACCAGCAATCTGGGCGGAAAGCAAGTGATTATAACTTTCGCGAGCCAAATTCCGCGATATTACGCTCGGGGGTGCACGAGGGTTAGAAACAGACACGACGCTGCCAGTTGGACCTCCAGGACGATCCTCGTGTCGATAATCACATTGGCTATTAAACGGCGCTGTGGACTCCAAAATTTCAGGCCGATCACAGTTGGCGATACCTGTGGTGCACCTCGCAGCATGGAACGCAGTAAGCGACGGCGTTTGATACGCTGATCTCGAAGGTATTCATGGGTCGCGACGGCCTCATAGCCCTGACGCTAGGAGTCGACGAGGGACACAGACGCGTGAGGGGGGCAGAATATAACCGTGATGCCGTGCTGCATATTTCCCGTCCAAACCGTCGAGAGCCCAGCCGACATGTGAGACTCCATCGAGGTGTTTCCGCCATTGTTGGCTTGGTCGGGCATACGAGCCTCATCGCCAAATATACTCCGAGTCCCAGAACACCAGAGGATACACAGCAATCAAATCCGCTGGTCCAGAACCATGCCCTTAGCTATGAATCATCCTCCAGTCGTGGCGGAAGCATAAGTCAGTCTTCGGCCGCATGATTAGGCCACATTGGCGAGGGCGACGCGGGTGGATCTCGTTGAACCATATCGAAGGATACCCGGTGTCAAAATTGCGGATGCAAGTCTAACACATCATCAGGGCTATCGAACACGTAAATGCGAACAGAGCTCTCAACGGAAAGAGCCGTTGTATCACCGCTGCCCAGGGATGTGTAGCTATGCCGGTGAGCCTCTATTGTCCAGTCTTCATTGTGTTGCGATCGTTTTCCAAGAACAATACGGATATCGGAGAACGGCGCCTCGCTTCTTCGGTGAAGTCGGTAATGAGCCCAAAGCCGCCGTCCGAGATCGCAAACCCCATGAAATGCAGATACCAGATCACAGTGTGCCGCCGTATTCGCCGCATCCTCGTCGGACTGTAAGGTGCAGCGAACGCAAGTACATTTTCTTCGGGGCAGTGCATCGCCCGAGGTCGGCCGGCGGATAAGCCGAAGCCAGTGGAGAAGGCGTGGGAACATACTTGTACCTGTACTTCGTCTCGTCATCCTGCAGTGCATACCACTACCGCGTCTCAGCTCGACGATTTCGGCTTCGATAGTGCCCGAAAAGCTTGGAAAGAAACACACAGCAGCATCTCGAACTGCAGTTGCATAGCTCTAGCGAGAGACAGCCTGAGTCGCCCGAAAACGGTCTTGGTTCAGCCACAATCGGCGGGGAGCGTACGTTCCAAGGGATTGCATCGTTCTTGAAGGACAGCTCGACTTTCAAGACTCGGGAAGACGTTGCTGGACATCGCAATGTATTACCCTCAACAATCCCCGGGTATCGCGCACAAACTCCCTGGCAGCCATCATGACCAGTCGCCCTGGAGCAGATCCCATCATCCTGTCCTAGGTCCTCCAGGAGCGCAGAACAGCGTCGGTCCACCTCCTACTTCGCCAGGCTACCCGCTGTACAACGGTAATCTTTCCCATGCACTACACCACCACCACGGTCCCTTCTCGCACCCTATTCCAGGACATCCGGCGGGTCATCATCACCAGAATTCGCTCTCGCACTTTCCTTCACCGCCGAATGGACATACGCAACAGCACGGGCTGGGGTCGGGGTCTCCGGGGAGTGCAGCGAGTCAAATGATTACTCCTCATTGGCAGCAGCAGTTGTTGAAATGCGAGGTGCGTGACATGTTATCACAATTGAGATGGTCCCTTACGTTCCCGTAGATGATCCGTGCTTCTCGATCTCCTCACCACCGCGCGCGTGCGAGTGCGATGGCATCCCGAACCGTGACGAAGTCCGCCATTCCGATTACCAACCCGAATCTCAAGGCTGCTGCGGAGGTGAATGGGTCTAAGGAGGGAGAGGGCTCGGAGAAGGGGGAAGGCAAGGCAGAGGCGTCACCCCACATCGACCACCCCAATCCTGCTACAGGGCCAGTGTCCGAGACGCCCCGACCGCATGCCGTCGAGCGTCCCGAGAATACCTGGAACTCACTGGATATGGGCGGGGTGTTCATCAAGAACATACCGCCCACATCTGGTCTCTTTTCATTCACCTTCTTGACCAATCTCTACCTAAATCACAACGCGCTCCAGGTTATTCCTCCCCAAATTGCGAAACTGCGGCACCTGGAGCTGCTGGATCTCTCCGGCAACCAGCTTCATCATGTGCCCCCGGAGCTGGGGATGTTGACCCAGCTGAAGGAGCTGTACCTGTTTGACAACAGAATCGAGACCTTACCCGCCGAACTCGGTACACTACACCAATTGCAAACGCTGGGTATAGAGGGTAACCCCCTAGATCCGTCACTAAAGGGGATCGTGCAGAAGGACGGAACGCCTGCTCTGATCGCGTACCTGCGCGACTCCTGTCCAGCGCCGCCTCCACCAGGGGATCGCTCATGGACGAACCTGATTAGCCCCGCCGAACGGGAAAGCATGCAGAACGATCCGAATGTGGAGACATTCACCGTGCTATGCCATAATATCCTCGCGGAGAAGTACGCAACAGAACGGATGTACGCCTACACCCCCTCGTGGGCGTTACAATGGGACTATCGGAAGGAGCTGATCCTGACCGAGCTGATGAACTCGCATGCGGATTTCCTGTGCCTGCAAGAAGTCGACATTGGGAATTACGAAGAGTTCTTCGTACCTCATCTGGCGGGGGCCGGGTATGAGGGAGTCTACTGGCCAAAGTCAAGGTACAAGACTATGACCGGTACTGAGAGGCGGCAAGTAGATGGCTGTGCCACGTTCTACAATGCCAGCAAGTACGTAGCACCCTTATTTTACTCTATTCATATCTCTTACTTAACCCCTCGCTTTTAGGTACCAGCTCGTCGAGAAGCAATTGGTCGAGTTCAGTCACCTTGCCATGCAACGGCCCGATTTCAAGAAGACGGATGATATGTTCAATCGTGTTCTCGGCAAGGATCACGTTGCTGTCGTCGGTCTCTTCGAGAACAAGGAGACGGGCACGCGACTCATTGTCACGAACGTCCACATTATCTCCGATCCTCAGTTCCGCGATGTGAAACTCGTGCAGGTTGCGTTAATGCTCGACGAGGTCGAGAAGATTGCGAACAATTTCGCCAAGTACCCGCCACGACTCTTGTCGACAAACTCCCCGACAGATTCATCAGATGATAGATCGGGCTCGTCGAGTGATAACCCACCCGACAGGAGCACGTCGGCGGGGAAATTGGGTCCTTCATACACTGATGGCACGAAGATCCCGATGATCGTCTGCGGTGATTTCAACTCCATCCCCGGAAGTGGTGTCTACGAGTTCTTGTCAAACGGCTCCGTCCCTTCTCACCACCCCGATTTCATGTCCCATACGTATGGCCGGTACACATCCGATGGGCTGCGGCATCGGCTGGGATTGAGGAGCGCGTATGCTGCAGTGGGAGAGCTGCCTATGACTAATTACACTGCGGGGTTCCAGGGGTGTCTTGATTACATCTGGTACTCCTCAGCCAATCTCGCCGTCAACGCGGTGATGGGAGAAGTGGATAAGTCGTACCTTGAGAAGGTGGTCGGTTTCCCGAATGCTCACTTCCCCTCTGAGTGAGTTTTATTATCTTTCGATACGAGGACACTTGCTAACGTTGTTTTGATCAGTCACATCTGCATCATGGGTGAATTTCGGGTCAAGCCACCGCCCAAGGACGCCCCGTCGAGACCAGCACAACCTACTTTCCCTCAATCCAACGGCGCTCACTGATTGGTAGTATAATGGAGATAGTCCATATACATACACATTTTATTCTACTTAAATATTCCGTCGTTCACTTTCGCATGTGGTGTTTATTTGGTTGGATCTTCGTTGCATCCCATACACTTTGGTATATACGCATCCGCCGTCCTCCCCTTGAGCTTCCTTGTATTTGGACATCGTCATCGCCCTCGCTGTTTTGTTTCACTGTGTGCCGTCAACTGTAGCATGTGTGTATAGCTCTCCCTGAAACGATATTTTCAACTCTCTAATGACTGATTTCAGCTGTGAGTCTCTTCGTGCAATCATCCATTATGAACGGAAGGGACGCATGCAGAATTCGGGACCATACACATTTCGATTCCATATCATCTTCATATAAACGTAGTGCAGGCACATCCAATCCATCTGCCGCAGTCTAGGATCATAGCCAACACTTAATAACGTCGCGAAATAGCTGCCTTTAGATTTCGAAGAGCTGTGGTTTACATGCTGCGGGCTCCCTGGGCTGGAGGTACTGCCGGGAGGACTCGGAACGTCCCCCGCGCTGAAAGATAGCGAGGTTCCGTAAAAGCCCTAGGTAGTTCACCGGGAGTCTGAAGGCACGAGTATCTCTTCGAACACGATACATAGGTGCTTTTGTCTACCACAGGCATCCCATCGACCCCTATGCCCTCGCTGGCTTCAGCTTATGGCATCCCGCCCATGATACAGCAAGCATGTGGACAGAAAGGGCCCAGGGCATAAAGACCGTCTTCTACGGCGTTCGAGTCAATAATCTTCATGCAAGCCTGGACAATGCTGCACAAGGGCTGGTACTTGTACATTGACCCCATTGCCAAAAATGCTACGCAAAATTGCCACACTTGCCGGAATGGAATCTCAGAAGCAGGACGAGATGCCGAAAAGCGCATGGCCGCGGACCGTCGTGCGTGGATGCGAACGCCACGAAGCCTCAGAGAAGCGTATATATAGCTTCGACGGTGATTCTCCGGGACCGATAGCTTCCATGCTATGCAGCTATGTCGCTTTGTTGACGAGATCTCGACCTTGGAAGAGGGTGGCATTGCTGCAGCTCCAAAGTCCAGGCTACAAGTGGAGCAGGTCCGGAACTGGAGGAATGCAGTGACTGAAGGTCAGAATGGACGGAAAAGGTGTATATTTCCGAGAGGTCGATTTCGCTGTATACAACAGAAGACGGAGAACCCCGCACCGTAAGTTTATGAAGCCCTACGTCCGCAGCTGCATGTCCGACAATTCAGTCGCAGAGAGGAATACCGGCAGTAGATGAAGACTGCGCGAAATAGAACCCAGCCTATTCGTACATGACACTTTCGTCGACTGAACCTTGAGAGCCGTGAGTGCACCGCGGCTATTCCTGGCTTCGACAGCGGAAGCTTTGGAGCGGCCGATGAGCCAATATCTTTGTTCCCGAGCCAAGACCAAGTGCGAGCGAGAGCAGAGGCGAACCTGAAGAGGGGCGCGCGCGACGAAGGCCGTTCGAGCTACAAGCACAGGCATACGACTGGAGGGACGCGGCAGCCCTACCACACAGAAAGGCTGGAGAGGATATCGAGCATCCTTCCGAGGTGCAGGCACGGCTGGTCTAGTGTGGAGCCGTATATATGTAGGGGGAACGATCGACATGTTATGCCCATGGTGCGACACCGGGATGTCTCCTGCGTGGGCGACGAAGGCACCCGCGACCTTACCTGTGTGAACCGTCGGCAAGGAAGCCGCGTCGAATGAATGAAAGAAGAGCGTTGTCTGGAAAGGACGTAAAACAGACTGCAGGCACGATTGCTGTTGCTGCCCGGCGAAGGCTTCGTCGGTGAGAATCCTTCTGCCTGCCCCACATCCTTGGATCTGCGCGGGAATTACGGCGGCAGGTCCAGGTCGAATGCCGGAGAAAATGGTCTGTTTCATCGCTTTGTCCGGTCCTAGAATTCCAGCCGGCCGTCGCGGAGACCAGAGAGCCGCAGAGCCCAACAGCTCCAAAGGAGTCCCGAGGCATTGAAAGGTACCGGTACAGCGGCGTTCTTCATGCTTCTGACGCAGCAAGGGAGAACTTGGGCTTGGCAAGGAGGGTAGGGAGTCAATTTATGGCAGGCGGCAAAATAGTGGACAGCATGTAGTCAAAAGGAACCTAAGATGGTTGAATACAGAATTGCTTTGAATAACCGTCGGTGAGCGGGACATGCACAGGATGCGGAATAGTGTCTTATTTAGCCGTCGTGCCGGATATCCGTAGGCAGAAACAAGTCACCGCTGGTTTTCGAGAACAGGGTAGCCGCAAAGCAAATACAGAGCTAGGCGCTGAAGCCCAACAGCCCAAACCCGTGGCTATGAAGAGTCCATGCTTATCTGTACGATCGTCCGAGACCAGCGGGATATAGCAGGGAGAAATGCCTTGCAGTTGAAATGCGATTACTTTGAGCCTTTTCTTCGGCAGATGCATCAATGGGCCGGAACTGGGAAAACAGAGACACAGAATTGGAGACTCTTGATATGGTTTCGCCGCTCTGCATCGGAAGGGACGGATCTTCCAAGTGGGCAAGGGTGAATCAACCAGGGTTGACACGGCCACCGAAAATAAACGTCGAGAGATGAAAGATAGCCCGTCAGCTATTCCGCAGCAGGATTGAGCTCAACTAGGCTCCGTTCCGGTCCGTTGGGGGCTCGCGTTGCTTTATTCAGAAAAAACTGCCCCAGAAGAGAGATATGCGAGCAACCGATGAGTGCGAACGGGAATTCGGTGAACATGCGGCAGGCTATGAGATACCAGAAGTCTCCCCCTCCAGAAGCAGATACGGCAAGTCCAGAGTCCAGCGATGCAGGCTCTTGATATGGTTTGCACAACCCCATTTCGTGCAGGGTTGAACTCGACTGGGATCTGTTCCTATCCGTCCAGCTCGCGTTGCAGTCGCCAGAAAATCAGAGGAGATGCGAGCAACGAGACTCCGAACGAGGCTAAGCGAGCCCCCGGAGGACCGGTGAATACGCGGTAGGTTACGAGACAGCACGAACCCGCGTCTCTAGAAACAGGATACGGCAAGTCTAGGGTCAAAGGCGGGAGGCGATTGATACGGTTTGCACCCATCTCGTGGAGATCGCCCGTGGGCGATTAGGTCTTCAAGCTTCAGGCCGTGTTTATCTAGCATGTTCGATCCGAGAGCGACCACGGTTGAGCCGGATAGGCACAGAACGCAGCATCTTCTTGTAAATATAGACTGAGTAGATTATGACTTGGATCAGGAACAAATTGGTGCGGGGCTCGCGGGCGTCGAAGCCAGATCAGAGCACGCCATCAACGTGAGGGTACGGGCGGGTTGGTTGGAATCAAGCACTTGATGCATGTTGTGTGGTACGGCGCCGCAGCAAACAGGTTCAATATTAGGAAGAGGCGCCGCGTGCAGTGCACCCGCATGGGCCCATAAGCACTGACCGTCTGGATATTCCCGTCAAGTTTCGAATCCACCAACCCGCGTGCGTTCGTTATCAAGGTATTGATTGAGGCGGGATTCGACAACCAAATCGTAGCAGAGAAGCTGTTGGTGAGAACGCCTTGCGCCGGCGGATGACGGTTAGGGTCAAGCAAAGCGCCTCCTGACAACATGGACCACAGAGACGACAGTCATTACCGATTCAAAAACAATAAGGAGGTGAGCATGTTGCACTTGGAGTGATTGAATGTGTTGTGGTGCGTTGATTCCGTGTCAACAAAGCCAATGGAGGCAGGTCATAGATTGGGTCCTTCAATGCCCCCAGTCTTGCTGCGCTGTGGCTCTCGGACAAGCAAGCAAAACGACAGCACCGTCGAGTACACCCACATGGCCCCATAAGCACCGACCTTCGAGTCCGCAGCAAGGACATCAACGGAAGTCCGAGCAGCATGCAGTCATTTTCAAGGTGCTGCAAGATTTGAATATCAAAGAAGCTGTTGATGAGTACATATGTGCTCAACGAACGTGGGTGCCGGCGATGGATAGGGCCCAGTGGTTGATGACATCGTGGGGGACCGCAGAAACCACTCAGAAGGTGACCATTTGCAAACCAGAAGGAGGGCGAGGACGTCAGATTCGAGTGATTCCATTCGCACTTGAAAGAGTGTTACACATGTCATTGTGCGTATCCCCCAGTTCCATGTTAGGTCCCTCAGAGCTCCGAGGCCTAGACCGTGCTGCGGCGCTCGGGCAATCGGATGCACAGCAACGAAAACAAGAGGACCCTCTCGCTCCCTCTCGGTGGGTGGCTGCGCCACTTCCGTAACGATGCGGCTTCCAGATCGGCTTCAGGTGATGGCCTGTTATAGCGCGCCATGCCAAATCAGCGACGAAATGTATGTGATCCACGTTTCTGCCGATAAGTGTCCGTGGCTATGCTATGTAGAGGGGATCCGCGACCGAGCAGGGACGGAGACTGAGATAGGTCATTGGAAATGGGCGCCACAACGATGGTGGAAGGTGACGGAGCCTGCAGGCCAGCAGCGGAAGCAGATAAAACAGACGGCGATTGCGCAGATTAGCCTGAAGCGGGCAAACAAGGTCGAGGGCCGGGCGAGGTGAGACCTTCCGGTGCACGCCTGATACATAGAACGGGGAGCTTCACACCGGCGGGGGGGTCTTGATGAACTCTTGTCGCAGATTGCCGGGGGTGCTGGCTTGGAAGGAGGAGAACGATAGTGCGGAACGCAGTTTGCATGCGTGCTCGACATGGCGCAGCCTGGCACGGATAAAGCTCGCGGCCGAGGAGAGAACAGTCACCATGGCGCGGCGTGAGGTAAAATCGGTCGGTTGTCGCGTCGCGCGACGAGCAGGTCTGGGCCTGCTGTCTGGAGCGTCGGGAGTGCCATGTATCGGGATGAAATCACTGCTTATCGCGAGGGAAATGCTGTGCAAGCCTGTCCGGAACGGCGGAGGGAGGGCCCGGCGGCAGGAATCGATGCCTCGGTCTGCAGCGGAAGAAACGTCCGGAGACCCGGCGGACCACCCGCGGAAGTATGTCCCCGCCGAATAGGGAAATAGGACCGGACCCGAAGGTACGTCACTCGGCGCGCCGGGATAAGTCGCCGGACGGACGATACACCACTTGCCATGGCTGCAAAAATGATTCCAGGCTTGTTATATCCCTGCTGCAACCCCTCGCTGCGTCTTCCATCGCCCGTCCCACAGCCAGCGCTGCGTTTGTTTGCTGCCTAGATCCCTTCTTCCATTCCAGCGGGATTCACAGGCGATCTGCAGCTTACGTCTAATTTGGCGTCCTTGTGGCAGTCACTATGCCATTCAGTCTGACCAGGCCCTCTTCGCCATCACGCGGAGACCGAGAGAACCACCCACTGCATCCCAATGATGTCGATTCTCTTTCTTCAGCCGTCCATGCCGCCCTCGCGGGTGCTGCAGCCCAGCCTGTCGCCCCTCCTCCTCCTCCTGACTACGACAACATGTACAGCGAGAAGGACAAGGCTCATTCCAGCCTCGACATCGTCGTCAACTCCGACACACTCTTCCTCAAGGGCACCGGCGTCGACGTAGAGCCCGCCCTGCTCTCCGGCAATGTCGTCCTTAACCTCACAGAGCCCACTTCTATCAAGGAGATCACGCTCGTGTTCAGAGGCAAGGCACGCTTACCCAACGCTGCAAACGAACCGTACGTGTCTCCCATATCACTCATACTACAATCTCTCACACCCTCTTGCCACCAGCTTGTCACTGAACACTTCACCCCTAACATACCTCGTATGCAGTCACGACTGGTCCTTCCTCGAAGGCGAGAAGAAGCACAGTCATACTCTCAAGGCCGGGCGACACTACTTCCCGTTCCAGCTCCAGGTCGGTGGCTCTCTGCCATCCAGCCTATTTACCACTGTCCTGGGTGGCGCGTCCGTCCATTACAAACTGCGCGCTGTAGCAGTCCGCCCGGGGTTCGCCCACAACATGCAAGCAGTCCTGCCTATCACCATCATGCGCTCCCTCGCCACCGAGGCCCTCGAGTACCAGCAGACCCTCGAAATCGAGAACACATGGCCCGAAAAGCTCATGTACTCCATCATGATCCCGCACAAGGCATGGGCCGCCGGCGACCGGCTCACCGCGATCGTCAAGTTCTCCCCGCTCGCCAAGGGCGCGCGCGTGCTCAACGTGAGCACGACCGTCAACGAGACGATCAAGCTCTACCTCCGCGCGGGCTGCCAGGAGAACACGCGCGTGATCTCGACGACGCGCCACGAGCTCGTCGACGGGCGCGCGGTGTGCGTCGAGGAGTACCAGAACCGCTTCCGCGTGCCGCTCATCGAGGGGCGCGCGCACGTCCCCGTGCGCGGGTCCAAGTCCGTGCCCTCGACGCCGCACCCCGAGCCGGCGGGCCCGTCCGCGGCGCTCGGCTACTTCCCGCAGGTGCACGCGCCGAGCAGCGCAGAGGGCGCGGGCCCGCAGCAGCGGTTCCCCGGCGAGGGCGAGGCGGGCCCCTCGTCCGCCCCCGCCCCCGCGCACGCGTCGCACGAGCGCGCGCTCATCGACCCGGACATCCCCGAGGAGATACTCTCGTCCGACGACGTGGTCACGACGCTGGACATCACGATCCCGCTCACCGCGACGCCGACGCACACGCTCGAGCCGATCATCGTCTCGCACCGCATCCGCTGGTCGATCCTGATCGGCAACCGCGACGGGCACACGTCGGAGCTGCGCTGCTCGCTGCCGCTGCATGTCCTGGACCACCGGCTGCTGGAGGAGGCGCGCGCGGCGACCGCGGCGACGAGGCGGCTGTTGCTCGGCGGGGGCGAGCATGGGAACGAGGAGGAGGAGGAAGAGGCGGAGCTCCCGAGCTATCCGGCCCATGTGCGCGATCGGGTGGCGGACCCGTATATGTCGGAGGGGTCGTACACCGTTGCGAACCCGTATGCGGCGTCTGGGGCTGCGACGCCGTCGACGCACGGGCTGCCGTCGGGAGCGCGGACGCCTTATGCGACATCGTCGGGTGTTGCTTCCCCAGTATCGGAAGGTCGACCTTCTCTGGCGTTCGCGACAGGAAGTACCCCTCCGATGATCAACGGGGGCACCAGCGTTCCCCTAGACCTCGTCAACTCCGAGCTACTTGCATCGCTAGCGCAGCAGAACCAGGGGCCGTCCCCGCCGACAACGTCCGCAAACACTCCGCCAGACTCGTCCGCTGCGAGCCGGCCATCGAGTCGCGGCGGGAGCAGAAGAGGGAGCCGACGCCCGAGCCGCGCGTCCTCGCCCGAGCGCGGGGGGTCGCATACACCGCACACGCCGCAGGAGACCTACGTGCACGGCGGCTCGGCGAGCCGCGGCGCGCACGGGCTGTTCCACATCTCGATGAAGCCCTTCACGTCGCTCACCTCGACGTTCTCGCTCGGCTCGCGCAGCCACGGGCACACGCCGACGCACCACCCGAGCCACTCCGCGTCCTCGTCCGACCTCGCGAGCCTCCGGCACGCGCCGTCGCAGCCGACGACGCCCGGCGTGAGCCAGGACCCCAACTCGGGCGCGGGGCTGCTCCACCGCGCGTTCACGGAGGTGCCGGACTATGAGAGCGCGTCGCGCCCCGGGGGCGGGCTGCCGCCGCTGTCGAGCCTCACGGGCCTGCCGTCGTACGAGGAGGCGGAGCGCGCGGACAGGTCGTCGAGTGATTCCGACCTCGCGAGCCGGTTCGCGCAGGGCCGGGCGCGCGCGCCTGTTGCCAGCGGTCTGCGGACATAGTAATGGCGGGTGCAGGGGTATTTATTATGGGATGTGGTATAGTGCAGGACGAGGGACCTTGCCCATGTTGTTGTTGTTTCTCCATTTGTTAATTATCGACACCCAGCTCATAGACTATAGACTCGTTTGGGATCCCCTCGCAGGTAGCGCGACGCATGACATGCACGATGGTAGCGTTTATATAGATTCCTCGACTCCTTATCTAAGTACTTAATGCCTTCGTATCTGTTGTCTCACAATCGCATAGAGCGTCTCGTTATTGGCTATGTATGATGTAGGAAGTACAAGAGACCCGGATCATGCAATTCACTGAATGTATAATTAGTCATGGAACGGTGGATTACAAGCTGGAGCGGCAAGGCGTTGAGTATCGGGTGATGTATACACCGCTTTCTGTAGCACGGCCGGGTATTCCCGGCATCATTCACTTAGAAATGCTTCCGTCATGATCAATTGAGTGTACAGCGTACGTATACCCTCGTATATGTCAGACAAGATAATGTATAGCAAATTTGCTCACAGTAAGTACAGCATTTACTCTACCTCTAGCGGGGCGAGTCTAAGAATAATGATCAAACCCATACAACCTAGCACTATGAAGATAACCCAACGAGACTTCCTCAGAGGACCTGACTCCAGGCCTCTACTGCTTGGACTCCGCCTGCTGCTCCTCGAGAGTCTTCATGATCCAAGGCTCAGAGGTGGCCCACTGGGACTCGGGCACGCCAAGTTCAAGCAATCTGGAGAAGGCCTTGGAGAAGCTGATGGCGACAGATGATTAGCGGTTCAATCCTACGCTCGATGCGCCGGAGTCAACTCACTCTTTGAACCACAGGTCCTGATCCTCAGCGTAAGCCTTGGCGTATTTCCTGAAGCTCTTGTCCTGAGTAAGCACGTAGTCCGTGCTGCAAATTGAGGACGTCAGAAACTAAGCGTTTCACAGGATTTAAACAGTGACTACTCACGGCAGCATCATGAGAGATCCGGTCTTCTTGTCCACGAATTGCTTGGGGCCGTTCCACTTTTTCCATACCCACCTGAGGTGCGATGACACGCTTAGCGGTGCTGTGATACCTGTAGCGGTAACTACTTACTTCTCATCGAAGAGAAGCTTGAAGTAGTCGTTGGTCACGGTGGTCGGGGAGAATGTCCAAGGGCCTTCAAATCCGGAACTGGCAGACGTATCGTGATTAAACTGCTTATCCCTCGTACGATATCACATACCGGTCTGGGTGGCAGCGTCCAAGAGCATGAGCACCAGAGAGAGCGACGATTTCCTGGTCGTTGAAACTGAACAACAGGATGGATTAGCTGTTCGGGTCAGTCGGCGCCGCGTGAACGTACCCCATACGGTAGAAGATCTATCCAGTGAAATGAAATTAGTAAGCGAAAGCCAGGGACATTCCGTAAGGATATACTAACGCTTCGCAAATGGTCAGCACCCTGTGAGCCATCGGGGAGGCGACCGTCCGGTGTGCAGTCCGTCTGGAAACCGTCAATTCGTCCGGGCCTCCAGGGGATCTTGGGCCCTTGCATTTCCTAAGCCGGACGGTCGTCAGTCCTTTCCGTCAATTGCTGACTTTGAGGCAGTTATATACCTGGATAGCGGCAACACCACCGAGAGTCCACAAATCACCGTAGCTGATCCAAGGGAAGTCCTTCTTGATACCTTCCATCACTTCACGAGCGATGTGGAGACCCTTGTTACCGCCGTGAAGAGATTCAGGCTCGAAGCGCATAGTGGCAAAATTGCTGAAAAGTATGGCGGTTAGTCTCAGTTTAAACCTTTACGCCGACGATGCAGACCTTCCACCAGTATTCGATGCCTTGTCGTAAGTACCAGAGCAATGCCATGCCAAACGAACGAAGATGGGACCGTAAGAACCGTCTTGAATATTATTAGTGTCGGTAAAGGACTGGGCTGACTGAGCATACCATCGTAATCACCAGCCTCGTCCATCACTTCAGCAATCCGGTTGTAAACCTAATAATGCTCATGAGTACCACTTCAACGACATCCTAATGTTGGGGCCTTTCGGACCTTCTGGAAGTCATCCTTGGATGGGGTAAAGTTGGTCGCAGCCTTAACAGCCTGAGCACCAGACTTGGCAGCAGTCTGAGCTTGCCTGGCGGTGTCTGAATTGCTTGTAGTCATGTAGTACGCCAGGCCTCCTGCAATGGTAACACCAGCACCGATAGCTGCCCAGAAACCAGTCTTGGATTCAGAGGATCCAGACGGTCCCGATGCATACTTGCGGAATTGAATCCTGGCCGCCGATCTAGGAGCTGAGACAGCAGAGAAAGCGCCCTTGCAGACAGGCGCCCTGAACAGTGAGAACGACATGTTTGCCGCTGTCGACGGTGGGGGCAAAGAGAGGAAAGTTGTGGACGCAGAGCAAGCGGGAGGACTCGATTGCGGGGTCGGCTTTAGTACCGACCAATTCGGAAGCGTCACGGGGCTGATGTGTAATGAGAGTGTGGCGCATCCGTTTACCCCGCGTCCGCCTTTGTGGCTTTCGCTGAAAACACATAAGATATGTTGTGGCCCCCGCTACACTTACTGACTTCGTTCCGAAGGTCTAAAAATGCCGCGAAGCTTACAAGAAGCATGCAACTATAGCTAGCAGCATTGCAGTGCTGTCTGCGTGCTCTTTTTCTCGGGGTGCGTCCAGCTGACCTCCCACCCAATTCATTCTGTTTTTAACCTTCGCCTGGGACTACAGCTGCTTCACTGTGGGACAAGTATGGGTATACAACATTGCAACAGCGGTTGATCCTGTCTCTCGACTCGGTTGTTCAACTGTCTGAATGCCAGTGTCCTGTGCTGGCGCTCGCGAAAGACCATCTTGCTACTGCGGGAACGCTATGTATCCGATAGTTGCATGGATTCGCGTGATTCTTCAGTGGATTTCCGTGCTTCAGGACGTATAAGCACCTATGTAGGGAGTGCGCGTGGACGCGGATGTCGTCGGCGCCTTGCCAGAGCTGCAGCTACGACAGCTTAGCACCGCCTCGGCTCAGGTTTACAACCGCCTCGCGCTATACAACACATGGATGCATATGCAGAATCGAAGGCGCTAATCTTTGCTCTGCCTCTTGAATGGTGATCTCGATGCTCCGGTTCTATCGAGCTACAGCTCCTCCGAGGTGCTCTATGAATCTGGCGTTACCTGAGCACAGCAGCAAGACGAAGCCGACCTCATATGTACATTTTTGGATGCATACATCGTATCTTAAAAGGTGCGGATTGTAAGCACCTGGACTTCAATCCCCTTCTCCTTACGACCTTTCCCAACACTATCGGGAAAACCACTCTGTACAACATGGCGGACTACCCATCTTGGCAGCCGGGATGGTACCCCCCACCTCCTCACGGCTACAGTCCCCGTCCACCTCTTCATGGTGGTTTGGGCCCGCCACCACCACCTCGCGACTACTGTCATCCAATGTATCTTACCTATCGTCCTTTCCCATATTGGACCCAGCGTGCGTATCATGGACAGCCTGTTCCACCACAAGGTGTTTATCTCTGTGCAACTTGATGCCTTCATGTCGCTGATACGGCTTTGGTAGCTCCACGACACCAAGCGCCATTCAAGGCAAATAAATCTGCGTACCCCGAGATCAGCCCTATTCTGGCGTGCGATATGACGTTCATAAAATACGACGTGCGTAAGGCACCCGAACACGGAATGGACATGGGCTGTTACTATGGCTTTTCCGGCCGGAGCGCGGGTGCTAAGAAAGAATTAACAACGCTCCATCTAATTTCAAAGGACTTCCCTTGGAGTTTCACGGTGGAGGGCGACGAAGCGAAGCCGATAACATGCAACGATGTGTGGCAAAAGCTCCACGAAGAGCTGGAGCTCGCTCTGGAAAACTGCCTGTGGGGTGCGTTAGATGACAAAAGGAGAAGAAAAATTGTGGCCAATTTTGAGCACAGAAAGCGCGAAGACAAGGAGGGGGATACTCAACTGATGAGGATGGACTGGCTTGGCCGCCGCACTGTATTTGTGGGAGTCGAGAAAGACGACGCTTTTGCAAAGTCGAGAGCCTTACCGGGCAGCGATGATGGTGAAGAGACCTGGGTCGTGAAAATGGAGAAGTGGTAGGACGTCGACGTGTTCTCGTATTGTTTATCGATAACGTATGGCTGCTGAACATCTCATCTTAGTGTACACTCATTACGCTCAATACCCATATAGCATTTGGCTCTGCCGGGTATTTGTATGATTCATAAAGTGTATGTACAGTACTAGTCGAAGTACTAGGTGGTCTTAGAGTACCCGTCAGTTAGTAGCTGATGATGTGAATCTTCGGGATTGCCCGAATCCACCCGCCACCTGCACACAATGCGTCGTTCTCATTGATGGCTCGCTATCTGAGTCCTCAACTTCTGTCCCCTTCGGGGTGACATACGAAAAAATTGGAACGATACAGAGAAGATTAGCATGGCCCCTGCACAAGGATGACACGCTTACCCAGAGTGGCAGCTCTACGGAGCTCAATATTTTTGACTTATTTTCAGGTCAGCACCCTCTCTGCAAATGTGGCAATAATCTTCTATGGCGTTCGTTCATGCCGGCCGTCTCGCAGGTACCACATCTCCATTTACAAGTGCTCCAGCTTTAGCATGTGTCGTATCATTGGAGTCTGCCGCGTCGGCTTGGTAGTGGTATCTAGACGCCAGGGACGACAACCACATAGAATGCAATGCATGGAAGCGTAGTCTTCATGAATGAATCGCCGCCCACCTACTACATGGCATTTGTAGGCATTCGGCTGACCTCTTCCCTAGACATCGGTTCAATTGTATCAGTGGTGAGTCAAGGCCACATCATACTTATGTTGACCCCTGTTCCATTGTACTCTACAAGTATGCTATTCCAGGTACTTGCGAGGTTGTGTATACCTGTGTGACTATATGTGGCGAACTCGACAAAGCTTATGGAGCTCAAGGGGCTTGAGCCTGTCTTCTGACTTCTGGAGAGACGGTACTTGTCCAGTACCGGTGTCTTATGAGCGTCTTTGACAGTTCCAGTAGAATTACGTTGCTTGGATGGCGCCGTACAGAAGGCTTACCTCCCCACACCAGAATGATATAAAGGACGTCGGAGATTTCAAGCCGTATCTCTACTAGCAGGCTACCCAGCAGCAATTATGGCCTCCCTCAGATCAAAGGATGTTTATGCTCATCGCAGCCGGCTCTTGGTCAAAGAGCATATGCGACGTCATGATGACCTCCTACGCCGGCTGCCCCGCCTAGGCAACATGATCAAGACGCTGCCTACCGTTGATGATGTCTTGCCGGTTGCTATCATCGGCGCTGGCATGGCAGGACTCTACACCGCCATGATACTTGATAGCCTCGACTTAAAGTATGAAATTTTGGAGGCATCAGACCATGTCGGTGGACGTATGTTCACCTACAAGTTCCAGGGAGGCTCACAGTATGATTACTACGTGGGTATCATCTTTAGCGCTTGCTTCCTCTCTACGTGCCCGGTGTACTCACGAATTTGTTTGTTCCCGCACAGGATGTTGGGGCTATGCGCTTCCCTGGTTCACCTTACATGCGCCGTATTTTCAAACTGGTCGAAGACCTTACTCTTAAACTCATCCCTTACAAATTCAGTGCCGACAATACCTTCATGTACTTCAATCATCGTCGATATCAGCCTAACCCGCCCTCGTCTGATCCACCTGCCGATCCCTTTCAAGCGAAAGGATACGTTCCTGACGAGTACCTCGTCCCTGGAAATCCCGGAGACCTGATGGCTGGCTTGTTGAAGCCATATCGCGACCCATTCATGCTGGACATCCCATCTGCTCTAGAGAACCTATATAAGCAAGACCGGTACTCTACGAGGACCTATATGTCGCTGGCGTGTGACCCACCATACCCTGCGCCGGTCATCAATTGGTGTGAGACACTGGAGGATTCGACAGGGTCTTATGACCGGGCTTTTACGGAGACAGTGCTAGATTCTGTTGCCTTTGAGTTTCCTGGAGATAAGGAATACTCTTGGTATTGCTTCGAGTGAGTACTGCTGTCTCTTTGCCGAACTCTGTTATTGAGTGCCATCACGATAGCGGTGGGTCCTCTGTCTTGCCGAAGAAAATGGAGGAGCTCTTGGGAACGCCCATCACTTTCAATGCACGTGTCAACCGTCTCGTCGGCGCCCCCGATACCCCAGGCGTGTTTCTGACTGTTGACGGGGAAATAGCTCCTCGCACGTACTCTTCGGTATTCTGCACTGCCCCCCTCCCTTGTTTGAATACCATGGACCTCGAGAACTGTGGACTCGACTACGCCACTTGGAACGCTATCCGCGAACTCCAGTACGGGCCATCTACTAAAATTGGCATATTGTTTTCCAAGCCTTGGTGGCAAGACCTAAGCACTGGTCCCATTAGCGGCGGTCAGTCATACACGGATCTAATGATTAGGAGGGTGGTGTATCCATCCTATCCGGAAAACGGCACGCCGTCCAATGTTATTATCGCTAGTTACTGTTGGACCCAGGATGCGGAACGGATGGGTTCACTAATTCGTGAGGGACCCAACACTCCGGGCCCCGACCTCATCGACCTGGTCTTGAGGGATCTTGCCAGGGTCCATGACGTCGAATTCTCGTATCTCAAATCATTGTACAAGGCTCATCACGCCTACGACTGGATGCATGACCCACTGACAATGGGTAAATCTTACTCTTTGCATGTCATCATCACGGCTGATTGATTGCCACTAAACCCAGGCGCCTTCGCTTACTTTGGGCCTCAGCAATTCAATTTTATGGAGTCCGTTTTCAACAATCTCACCAAGCCTATCTGTGGCGGTAAACTATTCATTGCGGGGGAAGCGACCAGTTCTTGCCACGCGTAAGCTCCCATCATAATAATTCCCTTTTCCCGATCTAATCTTTCACTCAGATGGGTTGCCGGTGCTTTAGAAAGCTCGTGGCGCGCTGTCGAAATGTACTTGCGGTTGCACCACGCGGACTTGCTCGACAAGTTCCATGAGAAGTGGGGTACCTCTGAGTACTGGGAGGACGAAGGAATCGATGCTCAATTACGGATTGGTCTTGCCCAGTCGTTCCCTGAGGCAATGCAGTGGGTGCCCGCGACACCGGGTGTCCCTCTCCCTCCAAAGTAATGAGCGTCCACTCAAGGGCAGATGGAATGTCATAGGATCGTACGCGGAATGGTCATATGAGAGTATAACGTCGAAGTCATCTATATAGCGAAGACCGGTATTTGTAGCTTGGTATCGATTATGTGATAAGAGTCCCAAGAAAAGTCGTTCTGATTACTGGACTGTAATGGCTCCCCGAAGAAGTTGCGCAGCAGACAGGAGCTCCTTGATTATTCCGGTGCATGTCCGGCCGTAAATAAGATGTGGAGTTGATTCCGCAGCTCCTTGGACCACCATACACTTAAACACGGGGAACACCTTGGACCACTTGAGGATACGTGCTGGCAATGAGCTTACCAAGGACATCAGTCGAGAACCGATAGCAGGTTATCCGATCAAAACGCACCCCGAAGAGCTCCGGCGCCCTGTACTGCAGTACCTGTGGGTCCTCTCCAAGACCGACGAAACTGCAGGGCGGCGGCACACTGTCAGGAATGCGTAATTTAAGGCACTGAGAATAGCGCTTACATCGTGGATACGCCGGCTTCGATGGCGGATGAAAGGGTCATAACTGCGTAGCATAGCGGCGTCATTACCGGTTGTCCGCTGGAGCAGGAAATCTAACACCTACGGCATTGAGCCCCGATTACGAACGCAAAGAATATCACAGGAGCGGTGTACTGGCCGTCAGAGTTGTACGATGGGTGTGTATCTGCATAGTATATGTAAACCTTCCTTCAACAACGCCACATCCGGGGACCGTTACTCACATCGGAGATATAGGTATGCAAAGAGGGACGAGAGCATCCCGACAGCGTATGCTCCCCAGGCCAAAGCTAAAGAGAGGCGATGAACGAAGGACGTGCCTTTCAGTCATTGATAGACGTACTCATCCCGACGAGTTGGTCGTTGACCAGCGCGTCGATACCTGAACACGGTGGGGAACAGTGAATACTTCGTTCATAGCGGCAGAAGTGAAGGCTCACCTCTATCCTGGAAGAGCCGCCACGTATCCTTTGCAGCGTCGATATATGGCTTCCCATACAAAGCTAAGATGCCCTAAGTTTCCGTAGAATCCTAAGAAGTCGAGGACCCGCACCAATCTCGATGTATGCATAGCTAGGCAATTCCCAGTCACACATTGAATACTTAGATCACAACGAAAAGACACCCAACACACCGGTTGAAGTACTGAACAAACCCTTCGATACATGCGACGAAGCACTCGGCACAGCACGCCAAAATCGCAGCGGCGGCTAGAAAAACGCGGGACTGTCACGGATGCAGTCGAGCATACATAGAAGCATGGGTCTCACGATTCCCGTCATCAGCGGCGTTGTTCCGGATAGCCTGGAAGAGCAGGCGGAGGATGTCCAGCAGCGTGACGATCAGGGAACCGAAGGCGATCGAGCCGAGGGATAGGGTGGAGGCGCGGACGAAGGCTGACGTGGTGGGATGTCTGGGCTTTGGGGAGAGTCAGAATGCGAACAATTCCAGGCTATTTGGATGAGTAGGTACCATTTGGCCTTGTTCCCGCGGGCCGAAGTAGTACCAGCCTACGAGTCGATAGTGAGGGAAAGATCAGAGATCAACAACTGTCCTACGCACATCCGTACGGCCCTCCAGCTAGAGTGGCTAGCGCGACGTTACCGATGACTTGTGACGTCCATAGGTACGAGAATGTCTCGAAGAAGATCAAGCCTGCAACTTTCCCTGAGGAACAGGAGCTGCCATTCCCGCAAGCTATGGCACGGAAATATGTAAGCTTGTCTGCACAGGGTAGAGAGGCGGGATGAAACAGATACGAACTCGGGTTGCCCGGCGTCCACTTCGCGTACCTGCGAAGCGAACGTCAGGACGGACTCACTAAATCTGTACGGACAAATACATACGTTGCGATAGCCGTGAAAGTGAACCAGCTGTGAAAGTTATATTGGATCAATACGCGTTTGCGAAACGCACGAAGACACTTACACGCTCAACCCCGCCTGGATTATGAGAGCAGCAAAAGCCACGAAGTACACGCTCGGATGGTGTTTCGACACGTCCATGACGACTTGTAGCAGTAAGGACGCCAGTGGGATTCGGGCACGGTACCCGAAATACGCTAGAATAGAGAAGAGCGCGATTATGGTGAAGATAATGGCTCCAGCTTGAAAACGGAAGTCGCGTGAGCGTCCCCTCGCTTCCCTACCGGCGGAGACATACAGTAGTACTTCGTGATCCAATAATATATGCATATTCCGCTGGAATCGTGTAACACAATCAGTAAAGGCTAGGGGACAGCGAGTTCGGGTAGCTCACATATTTAAGAGGATGGATAGTATTAAAGTTATGTGCATGATAAGTCTCGTGAATGCTCGACACAGCATCAGATAGATTGTAGCCAGCAGGAGGCCTGCTGCTGTAACAAGAAGTAGAAGGTAGACAGTATGACTTCCCGAGAATCAGCTCATGCACGGCTTGCGGTATGGCAGGACCAACTTACTAGTCAAGGGTGACACCAGTCCCCGTCGAACCACTCCCAAGGCCTCCTCCCAGTCCCCCCGACTTGACCCATTCTGAAATCGCAAGAGCCGAAACTACCACAAAGCCTGCAAACTGACTCCCAGACTGGTCAACCCCCGCCCCGTCCAAGCCTAATCTCGCCTCCTACTCACCTGCGCAACAAACAGAATCAAGAAAATCGGGTCATTAATCCTCTTCTTCGGCTTGAACCTGTCTCCTTCGTACGGGTTCTTCACGTCCCCACCGTACCCGCCATCTCCCCCGTACGGCGGGTAGTTCGTCTGCGCGTACGGCTGCGAGGTTCCTGGCTCGTAGACAGGCATGTATCCTCCGCCCTGTGGTGGTTGCGGCTGGGTTTTCCAAGGATTCTGCGACATCGCTTCCGATTCCGTGCCTCGCGCCCCACTCAGGCTTCTGTGTCGGATAGGTTAATTGAGCTCCCGTCGGTCGCGATCGTAAGTAAAGGAGCAACACAGTGCGGGTCTTGTTCTCTAAATAATCGTACAGGTGTTCGGGTCACTCGGAACAGCAACGCGCCAGCAATGCGACGAGTGTATTGACGGACAGAGCGCTGACCGGCCTTATGGCGGTCTCGGGAGCTCGCCGCGGACAGGGGCTTTGCCACAACGTGCATGATGAAGAACCTCAAGGAACATGACGTACTTCCATGGCTTGCACCGCCACTAATAGCGGCCACAGTACGTAATCCAAAGTTGCCACAATTGCAGGCCACACGTTTAGTTGTGGCCGGAGACCGCGACGGGAAATATGAATGGTCCAGCCGTATATTATCGGTGAAATTTAGCTACTTTGATCATATGGACCCACAATGTGGAAAAGAAAGCACAGACAGGAGGGAGGCTTGTAGCGAGTAAAGTCAATGTCACAACTTAGCAAGGCGCAATCTAGTGCAAAGTCCGCTGAAGATTTCCACTACAGCGAGACTCGAGAGCCATACAAGTTAAAACTGTTAGCAGCAGGCAGAACAGGGAAGCATAAGATGGTGGCCATAAGCACACCAGACCCAGACACATACACAAACCGAAGGCAAGGTCAATTGCACGGACTAAGGAACAAAGGAAATACAGTGGCTCAGTACATAGTCAAGCTGTTTGTACCTATTTGTCCCAGTGGCTCTGCATCCAATACAACCAAAACCTAACACTCCCACCTTGTGAGGATGCAGAAGAAACCAGCTCCCACCTAAAACCACAAACAGGCATCCCTCACATACCCCTCCAATAATAGCAAAAAAGGGCATCAACAACTCCCACCTAACCAAAGACCTCAAACAATCCAGCAGGGACATGGCAGAGAGAGAAAGAGCTGCAGGAAACCCAATGATCCAGAAAGAGTGGGAAAATCAAGACAACAGGCTTGAAGAACTCCCCTATGACCCATAGACTTCACAACTCCTCTTTCCCAGAGAT